GGAGAGCGCGGCCTGTGTACACGAGCAAATATTCAGTTCCTTGATGTATCACGTGTTATTATACGCATGCACGTACCTGGAGCAGGTCTTCGCCGTTGCCTGAGAGTGGGCTGGCCATGATTACGCCTGGAATTTGGCTACAAGGGTGGACGCGAGAGGGAGAGGGTGGATGGCACGTAACACGCAAACACGGACAAAGTGAAGGCGCGACCTCGTGTCGCGTCGGCACGGTCAAGTTCGGACGTCTTTCCCGAACGTCCATCATCTCCTGCTGCTGTCGGCGGTATGATTGAGTACCACTTTGCTCCCACCTCCAGTCCATATGTTGTTGAATGAATTTTTATCAACTTGAATTGTCTAGTTCTTTAATTGAATGAGATCATGGGATCGCGCGAACTTAGTACTGTATCCGTCAGTTTCACAGCCTCTTTACACGAGGCTTCTGCGATGCAGAGTGTCCTTGGCCCTCCTCTCTCTCTCCCTCACCTTCCCGATGCCTCACGGGAATGGTTTGCTTTCTAGATGGCGTTTTCGACGTTCACGGGCCGGGCATACTTCGCCTTCGTCCTCGAGCAATCCCACGACACCTCCGCCCGCCACACTTCTTGATCTAGATCTAGGCGTCACAGTGTTTGGCGGTAACGAGCGCCAGACCATGCTCGTAGGATCAGCCACCTTCTGGGCAGCGCGCACAACACCGAGAGCAGTCAAACAATCAGGTACGCACACAACACTACCATCCTGTTCACAGTCCTCACTCGCGCAGATCCAGAGCTCGAGTGTGGTCAACAAACCTTATCAGAGCTGTGGGAAGACGCCTTCCGCCAATATCGCATCACCACCGGCGTAAACCTCAAGGACACTGACTCAGTCCTATATCGGCGGCTTAAGGACTGCTTTGGCTGCGACGCCGTTGTCGATGTGCTCGTCGAAGCCGCGCAAGATTTCGGACTGTATCGGCATCCGTCGGCTGGTCGAGTGTATGAGGATATACGCCGCGCCCTCAAGCCCATCGTGCGCGCAGTGTTGAGCGCTGGTGCGCTGGAAGCTGGCGGGGAACTTGCTTCGGCCTTCGTACGTCCTTCCCGCTTATTCCGAGCGATAGGTCGTCTTACCCGTAACCTAGACTCTGCACGGAGGGAAAGCTCCTTTCGTGGCTGTGATGGTTCTTCTTCGAGTATGTCCACCTGCGCCCCGAACTTTGACGTCCTTCTGATATGACTTGACTGCAGGCTACTCAGGGCGTTAGCGCTCGCTTCGACGACGTGTTGCGACTCCTGGAACGATTCAGATACTACATGCAGCGACTGAGGATCAGAGAAGATATGCCCATGGAACCGGAAATGCGTTCCGTTGTTGTCGGCATCCTTGTCAAGATGATACACACGTTCGCCATCGTGACGAAGACGATGCAGAAGAATCGCTTTGGTGAGCACGATCCATCTATCACCAACATGCAAACTCATTCGAAGTGCAGAGCACTTCATGTCTGTCCTCGGCGGTACGAAGAACGCGGCTTTCGATGCCGCGCGCGAGCTCGAGATGCTCGAAACTCAAGATACGCGGTTGATTCTCGCCAGCGTTTACAAGGAAGTATATGCATACTCTCACATTGCCCACGAGTGTATGTCTTGTTGCCGTCTGTCTTCCTGTCTCTCAGGCTCAAGTTCGCGGTTGCAGCTCTCTTGGCGGACGTGAAAGACGTGAAGGATAGAGTTGCTCAAGTGCAGGATCGGCTGGACACAATGTCGTGGCAGATGGCGGATATGTCCATTCGCATGCAATGTATGTCCCATCTCTCACGACCCATTTTCACCTCTAATGCGATGTTTTGTCAGATTCAGCCCCTGCAAGTGTTGCGTCGAATGCTGCATCCACGAACGTCGCGACCTTACCAGTTTGTGCAAATGTGCAGACAGGTGTGCAAACATTGATACCTTCTATCGTGCTCCTCATAACATGCTATGCGTAGTCGGAACTGCGGAGATATGGCGCCTCTGCTTGGCAGTGACCTATAACAATACAGTTGCGAGTACGAAACTTCTGTCTGGCAGTATCCTCTCCACACTGAAGGAAGCATCTGACCACGACCGGGCTAATCTGGAGAAGGGCCTCGTCATTCTCTACTCTATCGCGGCCTGCATCGCAGGAGCGAACATCGACATCTCCACATCAGCAGCTATATCGAACCCTAGGGTATTCGCTGTAACGTTCCTTCCCATGGCCATGACTTATCTTGCTGCAATACTCTGTTTGAGAAACCTTCCTCGTAACCCTGGACACACCTGCACCATCGTCATTATCGACGTCGTCGGTGACCACGCACTTGTGCCTTTGGAAGAATACTCGTCGTGGGCGGTAAGCTTCTTCTGGTTGCTCAGGCGAGCATATGCAAATAAACCTCTTCTGCTTAGGACATCCACGCACTACTTCTTCGCCGGTTCATAGACAAACCAGGCGCCACATTTGTGAGCTCTGGCGATTATAGAATCATGGATACGGCCGGAGAGTCGGCGATCATCACACCAACAACATGGGCACAGAATGTGAAGGCGGGCATGATCCTCGAAATGGGCATTATCATCCGTCAAACATCATCTCTGCTCCGTTGCCCTTATTGCGATTTCTTCGCCTCGCAGACTCTTGACGCCGACGAGTTTCTCCGCTGGTATGATTGACGCTTCTTCTATCTCATGCATCCTTTGCTGATGCTTGAGGTAGTAAGAAATGCAAACGACAATACAGAGCATCGAGTGCATTGAGCGCGGAGGTTACAGATATCGATGAACCCGCTACTAGCAGGCGAGTTTATGCGATCCGCCATATGTCTTCGGTCTTACGAATACTTATTCTCTTGTGAAGTCCTCTCACTGGCAACGATCCGTCGACAGACGACATCATCTCAGAAGCGACTGATTTGTCGGCGCCCACCAATATTCCGAACCTCACACTGGCAGGGTCCGCTAACCACGGAGGGTCCGCTCATGACGGCGAGTCTGCGGTGGAAGGTGAAGAATCGCCACACACAGGAGACATGACCTTGTTTCGGAGGATCCTGGTCGAAGTGTTACCAGACACACATCACACCTCATACGGTGAGTTATCTCTTGCTCGGCTCGAACATCTCATGGATTTTCACCCTGTCAAAAGACAAATCGCAAGAGAGCGGCGGGCTGTCCACGATGGCGGATAGCGACTGGTTCCAAGCACATGGCGTCCCGCGCGATCTCTTTACGAACCCCTCTTATCCATCACACGAGGTCAAAGCCGCCGTCAATCGTATGCGGGAATCTATCATCGCCCAGAACGCAGGGCCTCAGGCGACACAGAGCCAACTAGCGCAGCTTCAGGCGATGCAGGGCCAGCACGCCAACCGCCGCGCGCCTAGTAGACAACAGGCGCCCGGACCCGGTCAACTGCCAAACCCGGCAACTCCCGGCCTTCCGCACGCCTCTCCCATGCCACAGCCTGTGAACGTGAACCCGCAACAGGCGCCGCCACAGCAGCCCGACGGTCCCCAGGCGGGCGGCGGCATGACGCGGGACAATCTCGCGGCGCGTCTTCGCAACCTTCCACCGTGTCAGGAGGAGATGTTCCCTCGTGCGTGGCATGCGTGGATGAAGCAGGGCGGCGTTGCGTTGAGCATGGATGATATTCAGCCGCCCGAGGTGCTCCAGGGCAAGCCGAGCATCTCGCTGTGGCGTTTGCACGCATTGGTGTGGCAAGCCGGCGGCTATGATAATATCGGCGATCGCTGGCC